CTATTTCTTCTCTCCACATGGGGAATTTGTCATGCTTGAATCTGGGCACAAATTACCCTCTTGTCCCCATGAAAAGTCAGAAAGACAGTGTTTCTTTGCTGAGATACTCAGCCTGGGGTCCTAGAATCAGGCTACTTGAGTTTCCAAGTGTTATCCTGTTTTGTTTGATGGGTCATTTCATTTTTGTGTGAATTAGTATATACTTCCTACAATCATCTGGCAAACCGCACCCACATCCTTTACCTACCTCTTCACCCAGGCTCCAAGCTGGCTCCAGAGCACTGGATTAGGCCACAGCTCTCTTTAAAGTGAGTGTTCTCTTATCCTTCTTTTACCTTTGGTGTCTGAGATCACTCTTTCCCACCTCGAACTCATCATAAATGCCTGAAGCCTTCTCATGGATGGATTTAAGTATTATTTTCCTCCTTCCAGTTTTTATACAATGAAGTGCTTACAAATGTGAATAGAAAAATGCTGCTGAGATTTGAATGTTTGTGTTCTCTCTAAAATTTATGTTAGAATTTAAACCTCAATGTGATTGCTCTAAGAGGTGAGACATTTAAAAGATGATTAAATCCTGAGGTCAGGACCTTCACAAATGGAATTGGAGATTGCATAAAAGGGATAAAGAGAACTACTGAGACCAATTTTACCCTTCCATCACTTCTACCTCTACCGTGTGAAAATACAGTATTCATCTACTTTTGGCCTGTCCTTTTCCACCACATAAAGATGCCTCCAAAACAAAGTATCATCTGTGGGTCAAGGCTGGGTTTAATCTTAGACTTCTCAGCCTCCAGAATAGTAAGAAAGTTAGTTTCCGTTGTCTATAAATTACACAGTCTCAGGTATTTTGTTATAGTGGAATAAATGGACTAAGACAGGAGCCTACTATAAAATACCAGAATTTTGCTAGTTTAAAATTGAATATGAAACAAATCCATAAAAAATTTTGTGATGTACCATCAATGGTTTGAGACTACTTAAATAGTAGAATTACACTGGCCGTAACTTTAGTGATAGGTGTTGCTGCTTAATCTGAAACATGCCCCCCTGGGTGCCTGCACTGCAGGGAAGAGGTGGATGCTGGGAAAGCCAGATTGCTGTAGACCTTCACATTTTATCTTCTTAATTTTTAAAAATTAAAACCTTCATATATGCATTTATGTAATGCAAACCAAAAAAAATGTTAATGCTATATTACTCCATCATATTTGCAGAATTTTGCAGATAAGGCAATGAGTTATTTTGTAGTATTTTTAACTCAGATTTTTTTAAATTGAAGACAAATATTTCTACTACATTTAAACCCATGTTTGTACATAGCTTTTATCTAACACTCAAAGAAAATTTTACGTGATTCATTTACCTTGAACTTAAATAAAATGCTATATGGAAACTTTGAAGAATTGGCCAAAATTTATTTTTAGGTCATATCAAGCAACAAGAAAAAACTAAATTAGCAGACACATATTTTTTTTCCAAGTATGCAGAAATATCAACGCCCTGGATGCAAGACTTCTATTCTCTTGGTTGCCAGGTAACTTACTAGATTAGAGAAAGGAGAGAAAAATCAGTCTCCATATATCCCTTTAGACATTTGGCAAGAAGTGAAAAGAACAGTATAAGATTTAGAGCTGTAGAATAACTTAAGATGCCAATGATGTGTAGCAGAAAGGGAAAGGAACAGTGGAGGATGTGAATTATGAAGTCCAGAATTCATTAGAAGAAGCCAGGATCAACTGCTGAATCTTGTGCAGTTCCAGTTGCCAAATATTTTAGTGACTAACAGCAATTGCATTGCCGCGTGGTGTTTATTTGGTACTCATTATGTAAGGCCAGGTTTTTTCATCTATTTTTGCCTTATTTCATCTTTACAAATTCTCAAGTACTTTTGCTCCCTTCAGAGACTGGAGCTGGTACTTACAGCATTTTGGGGATTCCCCCCACAGTCCCAGAAAATAAGGGTCAGAGGGAGAATTCTAACGTGGTACAAAGCCTGGAATCCATACCTTTATTTTGGCATTTAATGTAAGAGAATAACTCAGAAATGTAAACATTTAACAGGGGAAAATAAACCCTAGTCTCCAGTTCTAAAACTCCATTTTCTAAAAAGCAGCATCATCACTGTCATCATCAGGAAGAAAAGTAGATCAATCATCTCAATGCACTTGGCTTAGCGCTAGCAGTAGCTTTAAAGGAATTAATAGATTAATTCCCTTGGCTATGGTTTTAGAATCACTAAAAAGGCATTTTAAAAACCCACTATGTTTAGCTAGTTTTTGCCATGGTTTTGAATCTTAATCTTTATTGCAAACTTCTAAAACATTTTTTTCAAGATCTTATGATTTAGATTATGACTTTAAAGTAGAAATGGGGCTGGGGATTTAGCTCAATGGCACAGCGCCTGCCTGGCAAGGGCGAGGTCATGAGTTCGATTCCCTGTACTGGGCCAAAAAAAAAAGTAGAAATAAGTTTTTCTTCTAAGCTTTGAATGATTCTATTACACATACATTCCTGTGCTGGTTAATAACACAGATATGTTCTAAGAAATGTATTGGTAATCAATTTTGCCCTTGTCCGTAGAGTGTACTTACACAAGCTACGATGGTCACCATGTCATTAAGTGATATCATCTTATGAGATCATTATCACATTTTCAGTTTGTCATTGACTGAAATGTCATTAAATGGTGCCTAGCTCTGTGTGTGTATGGTGGCCTCAATTTAGTTGTCTTGGAATGGTCTCTGTATTTAGGCTACAATATTTAAAAGATTTTGTTCCTTACTAAACATGCCTATTGTTTAGAGTACTGGGGCAATAATGAAGCAAACTTAACTGAGCCTTTGTGGCTAGCTTTGCGATTAAGGATAAAAGAAGAAAAAGAGAAAGGAGCTTCATTAAGGTCAGTGGGTACATGAAAAACAAGGGGTAGTATTGCCAGACTTAATAAATAAAAATACAGGACACCTATGTACATTTGAATTTCAGATAAACAAGGCATAATTTTTAGTATGTTTATATAATATATATATCAATATTTTCCAAATTACACAATATTTATTTAAATTTAAATTTAGCCATGTATCCTTATTCTATTTGGCAACTATAGGAAAAGGTTCCTGCAGGACCAGTGTATCTAGCATTGGGTACCAGCTGCTACATGTCTTTCTCAAGCAGATTGGCAGGTTCCCCCTGGGCTGAAGTAGAGGCTTAAAATTGAGGCCACTTTTGCTCATTGCTTAATAGTGACAAGCTTTTGATAGCCAGGCATTGCCAAATTCTCATTAGTGTCTAAAAGTCAGGAACTACATTTAGAAAAAAGCAGCTCACTTATGGAGAGGTCATCTGTCCAATAACCTCAAGTACCAGGAACACAGCTGAAACCCAGGAAGCGAGGGGAAAAAGGGCCTCTAAGGGATCAAAATAGAAACCACGTGCTAAAGCTCAGGAGCTTGTCTCTGAGAAGAGCCCCTTAGACCTGCGCTCAGTGAAATTTACTTTTTTTAGACATCACCTAAACAAGTTTGGTTATCTGATCTCCCAACCAACAAAGATAAAAAGGAGAAAGTTTCTAAGAACAGGGCAGGGGGACAAGGTAGCCCAAGTATTTATTCTGTGGAAGAGTCTGGTAAACATACACACTGTACAAAGACCTCATCTATAAAATTTCAGGAGAAACTGTGCCAAAATAGCCTCAGTGATTATTTCTCAATAATGAGTTGAAAGTAGTTTCACTTTCTTATCATTGTTCATAACTTTTTACATGAATATTTACAATCAGAAAAGGCAATGCAGATATTTTCAATTAAGAGTTGGATTTATTTTTGGACTCTCCCAGAAGAGCTCTTTTCCCATATCTATTAGGCATCTTTACCAAATGGTAATTAGAAGCCAAATGCATTTGTCTCTCCTCCTACTATATGGTAAGCTTTATAAGGGCAGCATTCCTGTCTTGATAGCTTCTTGGTCCTAGTGTTATTCAGGGCAGCCAGACTATTATGGTTTGTGTCTGTGTGTCCCCCCAAAGCCTCATGCGGTCATGCGGCAGGCTTTTAGAGTTTGATTGATTATGGGTGTGAGAGCTACACCTGCCCTGGGGTGGATAGTTTGCATATGTAAGGGAGAGGAAAAGGGTGCTTGAGGCCATTCCGCCTTGTGTGTGCTTGTTGCTTTGCTGTGTTCTATCACCAGGAGCTGTAGCCCTCTGCCATATGTCACTCTGCCTTGTAATCTGCCAAGTATGGACTGAAACCTCCACAAACTATAAGCGAAATAAACCTTTCCTTCCTTAATTTTGGGCATCAGGTATTTTGTCCCAGCAACGAGAGAAAGGTAACCAAGACACAGACATAACAACTTTTCACACCACAGTCCCTCTGTCCAGGACAGGGCTATGCTATGGACCACATGGACTATTGACTGTTATTAAAACAGTCTGACTCTATAAGACAAGTTCAAATTAAGATTATATTCTCTGCTTTGGAAAGCATGAGGGAGTATAATTGATTCCTGTGAAGATTCTCTTGACATGGTTAACATCTTTTAATCTTTTGACTTAAAGGAAAAAGCTTAAATAATTTTGAAAATTCTTTCAAGTAGCACCACTCATTTGTTCAGAGGACTGGCCTCTCTGTCCATCAACAACAAAGGAGCAGGAGTGTGTGTCCTGTTTCTCAGAGGTAAATCACAAGGATAAGACCACCTGTGATCTACTGGATGCAGAAGATCGTGAATGTAGAAGAAATGGTGGGCCTCTGTGGTAATGCTTCACCCTCTGTGGGTCGCTATAAGGAATGTGCATCTTTCCACAAATATATAAGCATAAAAATGCCAAACCTCTACTTTCTTTGAAACCAATTTCTTGAAAAACTTCCTTGCATAGGACTAAACAAGGTCTTAGAATTTACTCCCTTCTAATTAGCATTCATTAATGGAATCCAGTCATCCTTCTTTCTAATGAGGCGGATTAACCTTTGTTTGTGTTTGTTTTTAACCAGAAAGAAATATATGAATTACTGCACAGTGACTATCATGGCCGAGAAGTCAGGTAAGAACAGGATGATTCAGCATCTATTATTTTTGTTTTGTAAATGATTTTGAAGCACATCTTAGTAACTTGGAAGGGAGTTTTGAAGAGCGACAATAGTGTTGCTTTCCTCCCAGCACATTACCGGGAAAGAGCTTCCCAGCTGAAGCACAGATGTACGAGGCCCTGCCAGCGGAGTCCCTTAACACCAAAAGGGAACTTTGCAAAGCTCAACTGCACACTAGGACATTTTACACTACAGCTGACTCCAGTAACCGTGCTGATGAACAATAGTTTTAACATCTATAAATTAATCCAAAGATAACTTTCTATGCTAGTTATTAAATTTGACTCCTTTTCAAATCTTTCAAGTTAAATGTAGTGGTAAAGTTACTGGATTTGTCTCTTAGCTCTTTCCCCTTTTCCCTTCTTGGAATTAATATTGGAGGGAAAAAAAGTAATCCAGAGCAAGTATCAGGAAGAAAAGAAGAAAAGTGATAAATACATGCTTAACTCCTAGGTAACCTACATTTAATGATATAAGGGTGTTACTGCCAGCTAATAAAAGGAACATCCTACAAAGAGCCAAACTAAGATACTAAAGTATTAGCCCTTGTAAGGCTACATGCATAAACATTAGGAAAGAGTTACCATATTGATTTGATTTTTAAAGCAACTAGACCACTGTGGTTTTTCAAAGTAAAACTTATGTAATGTATGCCTCATGTCTCAAGGAAGATATCAAGAAAGTTAGTGAAGACTTCTTGTATCACAAACCTTCCTGCCACTCCCCCCAAAACTGCGAATTCATATCTTTGAAGTGACTAACCCATGCTACTCCTACCAAAAACACCACTCATGTGGGAAAGATGGCGGGACACTAATCAGGAGACAATGTGATTACAGAAGCATCATGGTACCAAAGTTTTTCACCAATAAAGATTCTGTTTGTTCATTGCATTCTGAACAGTCTGCAACTTTTCCTACCAAAGTAGATTTAAGTCACTCCTTGCACACTGCTGTAGAGATTAGAACGCTGAGTCTACTGCCGCCAAATAAAGTATGCATAGCACGGAGTAGCACTCATCCGCCCCAGAACTTTTTAAAGTTCAGCATTTCTTAAAATGCTGATGAAAACAAAATCTTCCATAAAGTCAAATAAAACTATAAATACTTAAAAACTGCATTTGGAATATATGTTTATCGGGAGTGAGTTTGATCAGTAATGATGTTTTTTCAAAAAGGAGGAAAATATCGCAAGGGGGACTTTCTTGGCAAAGAATAATTTTTGGAAATACCATGCCCTCAGCAATGCTAGAGGTTGTCCCCGGCTTCTCTCCTCAGAAGTAGAACACCAAATTCCAATCTCCACATATATATACAGTTTGTCATGTCCAAGACATTATGTAAACTCTGCACAGCTCTGATTACCATCCTCTAGGTCAGTCACTAATAACAAGTCTATTTGTCTTAGTAAAGTTTTTAATTTAAAATCCTATTCTTAGAGTTAAATAAACAGATATCTACAACGATAGACTCAATGAGTATTTTCTGAATGAAGAGATTTTGGATTGAGTAGCTCTCCATATTAGGCTCATGTTTCTAATAACCTAAATTGTTAAAAAGAAAAAAAAAGAGTAATCTTGAAAGTATTCTCCTTATAATAGATTTATTTTTATCTCTTAGTATGCTGTACATTCTACAATGATCTTCACACTCAGGATTAAACGAAGAATAAATGCTCCGACAAATGTCATCTCTCTGGCTTTGACCTTTTACATGTATTTTGGTTCAGGTTTTGGCTTTTGGATGAGTGTCTATATAGAGCTCATTCCTCACAGCCAGTTCAGGCTGTCTGGACGTAATGTCCAGTAGAGGGCTGCCTGAGAGGCTCGTTTGGATTGCCAGTCCTTTTGGCCCATTCTGTTGGCAAGGTTAAAGAGCTAGAAAGGTCTGCTCTGTTCTTTTCAACTATTCCAGAACTGAGTCCCCAAATATCTCTTCATCCTTTTCCTGTTTTTCCTTCTATTTTTCTTTCACTTCTTAAAGAGCTTTTTGATCAGGAAACATCAGTAGGTGTATTAGTTTCCTAGGACTATCATAAATAATTACTACAAATGGGTGGCTTAATATAATATAAAATGATTTTTGAGGGTCCTGGAGGTGAAAGTTTGAAACGGATATTTCAGCAGGGCCATATTCCTCTTCAATCCCTTCCTGCTTCTTCTAGAATCTACGATGCCCAGCTTTCCATAGCCTAGAGCTCTAGAAGTCCAATTTCCGTCTGGCATCACAGGGCCACTCCCCTGTCTTTTCTCCTCTTTTCTATGTAATTAGGACAGGTGGCATTAAATTTAGGGTTAATCTGGACAATGAAGGATAATCTCCCCTTGAGATCTTTGATTTAACCACCTCAGCAAACCTCCGTTTTTCTAAATAAAGTTGAACTGAGTTTCCCGTTGGACATGTTTTCTGTAGGAACCCTCACTGAACTCACCACAGCAGGCAACTTAGAATTCACTGCATCTGAAAGCACAAGGCTACATTTGGTACCCTAAAAAATTATTTAAAAAACTATGTGTTTGCCATAATTTTGTGTATGTATTCTCAGTAGTCATTTCAATTTATTTTGTCATTAATTGTTGTTCATGTAGATCAAGGTCTATCAGTACTGACATTTGGTGTTGGATATTTCCTGCTTGTGGGGTGCTACCTTCTTCACTATAACAATTCTTTCATTGCCTTTGGCCTCTACTTCTACATGTTAGTAGCAAATCCCTCATCTCTACCAACATCAGCTCTTCAACCACTATTGAATGCCTTGGGTCAGAGAGTTGTTCTTGGTTGAGAATCACTGGTATACCTTATGACTGATCTACCAGATGAACCTATTAGAAATTACATTAAAACATTAAAATTCAAGTAACTCATGTCTTTGATTTATTTGGCTAACTCTAGTGACATGAAAATGTTATAAAAATGTTTTATTTCCTTTTGGTCAAAATAATTGAAAAAAGGGAACATTTTCCCATTTTCCTAATGCAGGCATATATTTAGATAGCCCCGTCAACATTTCACAACAAGTAACAAGAAAAGAATTTAACTCAGAGTGTGTTTTCCAATTTATCTGTTATTTAAGAATAGGAAGCAATCTGCACACTTCACCAGAAAGGGAAAAATGAATTCTTTTAACAGGGCTTGATGGAGAAATATACATGATTCCATCAATGAAAGAAAATGTTAGAAAAACCTGTTTTGTGCTAAAGACTATAAACACCAGGGATTATTCTTTCCTACTGTTGTATTCAATACGGAGCATTCAAACAGTGTTTCTTTCATTAATTCAGAAACATCAAACCTACTTATGAGTCAAACAAAATGTGAGACACAATTCTATGAGCTATTAATATTGTCTGGTTTTGTAAAACATATCAGAATGCACAGTATCAAAAGTTGTTTCTTCAAAGTTGTAGTCACCTTAACTACACACCTTTGCAAACTCCAAAACTGTCATGATCCCTTCTTCAAACATTCCAAGCATTTTAGATTTTGAACAAATGTGAAGTTGGGTCTCAACAAGATCTCCTCCTGTTTAGAGTTATATATTCTTGACTAACTGTGCTGCTGTCTAACAGAATGACCTCCATCATTCAAATCTTCATTTCAAAGGTTTAATTTTACTACTGTTAGCAATAACTTTTAAATGTCCATGTTTTCCAAGACAATTTAGAAACAGAGTACAAAAAAATTGGGGGCGGTAGTAGCACTTTATAGTAAATATAAAACCTCCCAATTTGACCACTCTGAGAAAGACAATATGCATTCAAATCTGTAATTTTGGATATTTTTTTAAAAATCATTTGCATTGTTCTATACATTCCATCTGCAATCTGTAAAGATTGATTAAACCAATACGGATAAAGCATGAAGAGTAGGTTCAGCACCAAATTAAGATTATTAATATTACTGTGTGTCACTTATGTGCCACCATATCTGAATTGATCAACTTACTTAAAGACTTCCATGTCCTAAACCAAAGAGGCTGGTTATAATTTCTTCTACTCTGTTAAGAAATGAAGCATTTAAACCCCAGAGATTCTCTGCAACCATGCTTTTTATCTCTTAGTTTATCTTTTTTGACTTTAGGGTTCATATCTTTCTTCAGCATTTTACAGGTTCTATTTCAATCACTATTTACTTTCATTATATATTAAAGCATATTGACAATATACGGAAATGAATTTTGTTGGCACAGAACAAAGAATTTAAATGTATTATTACACAGATAGTACAAAAGGAAAGAGGAATGTTTTATATAATATGAATCAAACACAGTGAAAAGAATGAGTGATTCTTCATGGAAGTAGGTTTGAAGATATTTAAATTCAATAAGAGAACACTTTTTCCTTTGATAGTCTCCATTCCACTATATGTTATTTTTTAATTCACATATTCTATTATATATATTTTAAAGGTTGCAGTTTACTGATTGATATTTTAATCTTAACATAGTTATCAACTCCAATGGAAGACAATGCTTTTCACCTCGAAATATTCATAAATAAAAAATAAAATATAACACTTTGTAAGTATTATTTATGACATATTGAAGTCAACTTTTAAATTCAGCTTCTTCTAAACCAACAAACACTGAGCAAAAGTACATTTATTGTAGAAACTATTACTATCCAAGTATTAGAATTCTTTTGTTAGCAATTTACCTTAGGGAAGTTATAACTTTCAAGTCTACGAAAGACCTGGAAACTTTTAATTAATGTAGAAACTAAGCCTACCAAATATTTTCAGAATGAATTTACCAAGTATCCTGAGGAAAAAAGTACAAACTAGAATAATTCTGCTTTCTAATTACCACAGTTGTTTTAGTGATGAGCTGCTTTGATTCAAAAGATAGCAACCAATTAAAATTATTATTTTGGGCAAAATTTCCAGAATTTTTCCTACTTACTTCATTGGTTTCACCAAGCATTTATCATGAGCAAATATAATTTTAGTAACATCTTTGCCTGAGACTAACATCAACTGTCATAATGAGAGTCACTGCAGTATTTTAATAATGATTTTCAACCAAAAAACATCATCAAAAGAGTCCTCTTTAGAGACTGTCTCACTATGCTTCCTAGGCTGAGGCAGAACTCCTGGGTTCAAGAAATCTTCCCATTTCAGGGCTCACAGTAGTAAGGACTACAGGGACATGCCACCACACACAGCAAAATGTTGTGTTTAAGACCACCTGGTTTGGAAGGTCTTGAGAGATTTGGGACAGGAGACTGGAAGCAGCTTCAAAGAAGAAGTTCCATTTGTACAGAAGAAAATGTAAGAGCATCTGTACCGTTCCTCTGTAGAGTTCTTCCCAAAACTCAGAACAGACGAAGGAGTAAGTATACTTTGGCGATGTTTGTGTGCCTTTTAATCTCAGGCTCTTTCAGCCTGAGTTTGTGTGATTTAAGAAATGAGGCAGTAAACAGATGTATGTGATAAAATAATTTGTGTCTAACATATATGATCTAAAATGTCCAAAATTGTACCTGAACAATGGAAAGAAGGAAAACCAAAGTTTAAAGAAAATAAAGGATTTGAATAAAAACTCACTGAAGAAAAAATTCAGACAGTAAGTAAGCACATGAAAAGATGGCCAATACTTTTAGTTATTACAGAAATGTCAGTTATAAAATCAAACTGGGATATGATTGTACACATATTAAAGTGCATAAAAATTTAAAAATTGACAAACTGCTAGTAAGTATGGCAACCTTGTAAAACTCATTCATTTTGCTAGTGACAATGTATAAATTAAAACAACATGAAAACAATTTTGAAAAATAAACACATGTAGTTACCACGTGACTACTCAATACTTGTTCCAAGCACTTCCCTAAGTGTAATGATATGTCCGCACAAAGACTGGTATGTGGCTGTTCATAGAAATTTTATTAGTAATTTTCCTAAACCCAAAGCAATCCAGATACTCATTATTGGGTGAGTGGGTAAGCTAACTATAATTCCATAAAACAAAGCAATACTTAGCAGCAAAAGGAATGCACTACTGATGAAACTATGGATGAATTTGTAACACATTATAAAAATGAAAGAAGCCAGATACAAAAGGTTTATACACCCCTTGACCACATCTGGAAACAATAAAATTAAAGGGACATAAAGAGGTGATTGACAAGGGGTTGGGGATAGAACAAGAGCATCTGATTATAAAGGAGCACAAGGGAAAGTTCTGGAATAATGAAAATATTCTATCTATATCTTGATGACAATAGTGGTTACACAATTACACACATTCACAAAGCTTTCTAAAATTGCATGAGTAAAAATGATGAATTTTTCCATATGGGAATGATACTAGAATACACTCAACTTTCAAAAAAATGATGTAGTATATGAAATTATGGGTGGGGTAGTTCATTTCAAAACCAAGGACCAAAAAAAGCTATAACCAGGGGAATAGATGTACAGATCGGAGAATTCTGGGTGAGACAACAAAATGTAAGTGCACATGTGCATGTGTGCATGTGTGTGGCTGTGCAAGTACACATTATTTATTGTGATTTCTTGTGCAGTTTTTCATATTGGGTGTCACTATCTATGACTATTGCATTTGATTAAAAAAATTAGCAGCTTTCCAAGGTTCCTGCATTCATCAAACTAACTCAGGCATGCTATTGTAGCAAACCCCAAAATCTCAGTAGTTTAACACAGTAGGCATGTATTTCTCACTCCTGTAAATTCTGCTGCAGGC